CTAGGTGGGTTGTAGGATACTAGGTGGGTTGTAGGATACTAGGTGGGTTGTGGGATACTAGGTGGGTTGTAGGATACTAGGTGGGTTGTAGGATACTAGATGGATCCTGCTTTAAATACCTTTTCTTTCTTTGTTTAAGCTCTCCGGGTTTGCAACCCCACTAACAAAGAACATTTTTAAAAAGTAATTCAATAGTTATCTGCAGCTACTGACAAAGTACATTGGGAAATGGCGACAGCGAGCAGTCGAACTAGTTAAAGCTCTAAATGCCTTCCCAAAAGCACCCAATACCTATCGGGCCGCAAAGCGGCACGTTGGAGACCTCTTCCTGCTAGGACAGCCAATCTGCAGTTACTGCATACGACAATCTACGATAATTTAATGTATATGAAAGCTCTACGATCAGTTACTGTGAGTGACAACTCCCACAATCAGCTAATGTATGTGACAATGCTACGATAGGCTACTGCATGTGACAACTCTTTGATCGTTACTGCACGTGACAACTCCACTTTCAAGTTACGGGGAGTAGCGATTCCACAATAAGTCGCTGCGTGAGACAACTCCGCGATAGGTTACTGTGACAATTTCACTATCAGCTACTATGTTGTAACAACTCCACCTGGGGGACAATCCCGCTGTCTGCAGCAACAACAGAACTGAACTCGGTCAGACAAAAGACAAAAAGCCATGAGTGCGCCTTGACCGGACCACCGAACTGTAACTGTCGCAACTGTCTGAATGGCAGGCCGCCACGAAATCAAATCATTAAATCTGTTCACCGCTTTCAGGGTCAACCAGCCGAGGGGCATGCGACATGTGGATCAGCGGTCTTCAAACCGTGGGGGGGGGGGCATTTTTTACCTCAAACGCAATCAACACCAACAACTGAAAGATAATGGCAGGCCGCCACGAAATCAAATCATTAAATCTGTTCACCGCTTTCAGGGTCAACCAGCCGGGGGGCATGCGACATGTGGATCAGCGGTCTTCAAACCGTGGGGGGGGGGGCATTTTTTACCTCAAACGCAATCAACACCAACAACTGAAAGACGGGCGCACAACAAAGTATATCGTAGGACACATCACTGTGGCCGTGTGTGCGCACGGCAATCAGACACACAAAGGAGTAAGGGTTCAAATCCAATATAGGGCCTGCATTTGTTTAGAGGCCATTCTTTGAGAAGAAATCTGCGTTTACATTGCTGGTGTTTTTGTAGACTCCCCCCCCCAACTCATTTTTTTTTCTTTCTTTCTTTTTTTTTTTTTTTTTTTTTTTTTTTTTTTTTTTTTTTTTTTTTTTTGCTATAGGCGAAGAAGTCGATAATCAATTAATTAGCTTTCTCTGGTGCTGTTGTTGTTTTTTTCCTAACCAAGATAATAGACACAATTACTCATCGCGTGCACACAATTGTGGGTGTGCAAAATTCAGTTTGAAGACCGCTGGCGTGGGGTTATTGACAGTGCGTTGCTCTTACGTAACACCGGTATAATACTTTGAGTCAATTTGGAATCTCGATTGGACAATTGATTTCGATGTACAGCTACACGTTGTGGGTAAACTACTTTCTCCTACAGGTAGTAAAAATTTTTCAGCTGTATTACATTGACCACAGGTGATTTCACAAGAAAGTAAATAACGGGGTGGGTGTGGAGATAACGGATGAATGTTGATGGCAAGGGGGGGGNGGGGGGGGGGGGGGGGGGGGGGGATTCCTCAACCTGGAAGACGTTTTAAGAGCTTTTTTAGGAACATGCCCCAGTTATAATGTTGATGTTGACATACTATATGTGAATATGTGGAAGCTTTACCCCCCCCTACCTTTTCAGCCAAATTACCTAGTTACACAAGGAGTTGTGACTGACGGTGAGAAGAGTGGTCTTGCCCAGGGCTGAGGTGAAGTAATATAATGTTGTTTGAAACATATTTCAATCCGGACACACACATTTAAATTGATGTTCCTTAAAGTTAAATTCCAACTGATGTTTTCTTTAAGTTAACTTCCAAATAATTTTTTTTTTAAAAACCGAATTTGAGTGTTTGTCTTTTACTGTGTATTTTTAAAAGTTCAACAATTAAAATAAATGGTCTCAAACAACTTTCCAAAACTTTGCAAATCCCCCCCAACCCCATATACACATAAAGCCAAAATTGGCTACATGTCCAGTTGTCAGAGGCGTAGCGATGGGGGCACAAGCTAGTTAGGGGCGCCAAAATGTGATTTGATATTGTATTATTGGTAAAAATAATGGGTTTGAGAGTTGACAAAAAGAAAAGGAGGCGCTTTGAAATGGATCTTGTCCCCGGGCACCAAACACCCTCGCTACGCCACTGCCAGTTGTCCTATTCATTGTAATGGACATACATGGACAACACTCATGTTACTTCATCGACAACACTCATGTTACTTCATCGACAACACTCATGATATTTGTCATCTGAAGAGAGGACTTTATGGAGCTTTAATTTTTATTTTTAAAGACATTTTTGGGGAGAGCACAGACTTTTCCATAATTAAAAACAGACACTTCTTATCGTCCGCCCGCCCCCACAAACCAAATTCAAATAACTTTGAAATTGTCCATCTTCATCTACAGCCTGCTGTGCATCCCTTCACATGCATAATATTTATTACATTTTTATTTTTTTTCCAAAAAGTAAAATTAACTATTTTTTTTAAACATTTGATTCTATTCTTTTCATTTGAAGTACTGGTACACTTGTAAAACATGGTTTGGGAAAAAACACTGGTCTATAATACAAGGAATCCCGCAATCAAAGACGCAGCACAGACATCCACAAAATTTAATACTGTTTATCTTTGAAGTCCAGGGCTCAAAGAAGAATTGTTTCAACTAAACTCCACCTAACATATAACCCCAAGCCCTGATCTTCTGGTACAAAAAAAGTCATAAAACATTTTTTTTATTTTTACACCCAGAAACCTTTTCAGGTCAAATCCTAATCAGAAACAGATGACCACCACCAATCATAATGAGTTGTCCGATCCAATCCTAATCACTTGATCAACAGCAATCCTAATTATTTGACCAACAGGAAACCTAATCATTTGACCAACAGCAATCCTATTCATTTTACCAACAGCAATCCTAATCAGTTGACCAACAGCAATCCTAATCAGTTGACCAACAGCAATCCTAATCAGTTGACCAACAGCAATCCTAATCAGTTGACCAACAGCAATCCTAATCAGCTGACAAATATAATTTGTTTTCTCAATCCATCTGCAGTCAGTCTACATACAACACTCAATAGTCAACACTGGAGGCCTATTAGTCTACTAGAAAACTTTTTTTGCAAAAGGTTTATGAAAAAAAAAAAGTTGCATTTATTTCATTTTAATATATTTGTTATTTCTCAGTTATTTTAAAATTGATTTCTTTAAAATTATGCACAATTTAACAATATGTCGCTAAAGAACTTTGAAACATGGTAAAATAGTCTTACACTTAGTCTTATAGATCCTAATGCATTTTTTGAAAATCAAAATTTAATCTCAACCCTGCGGCTACGGCTAGGAGCACAGTCACAATGTTTACAAAAATGCATGTTATTTATATTTTACAGATAAATTCATGGTAGGATTACGGTAATTTACTTGGCTTCCATGAATGACCAGATCATATCCTACTTAAGCCTAAGCATGAGTTAAGCTGGCAGAAGAAAAAAGCATTGTAAATAAGTGTCTGGTTTCCATAGCAACGGGCTATGGGAATTTTTTTTTAAAAAGAGGGCAGGGGTGATGGGTTGAGCAATGTTGACATGAAGATTTTTTCCTTATTTAAAATAGTAGGCCTAAATCAAACACTGGTGAAATTGAAAATGTAAAAGGTGTTTGAACTATTGTTAAATCTACTCACCCCTAGCTTAATGACTTGCTCGTTGAGAGAGTTGACCCATTCGTCTACAAACTCCGGTGCATGGTAGTAGTGAAGATAAAACCAGTTCACAGCACTGTTGAACCACTGGGCCGTTTCCAGAGGGAGTGCGGCACCGGTCAGGCTCTCGCCTTCGATCGTTTCACGGAGTTTTTCCCTGGGTTGTCGCTGTAAAGGTCCGAATGCCGCGACGATGGCGTTGACCGCTAGGATGACGACGAAACATAGCGTGCACCACCCTAGCAACAACAAATCCAAAACATAACTATCGAAATCGAGCTCCGTGTACCAAGTTCGGCCAGTCTCCGCCATCTTTTCTCTGACTTCCCCGAGTTTGTACCAAATAAGCCGCAGGGTTATATCAGCCATGAGGTAGCCAATCGCAGAAGGGGCGGGGAAACGTGAGAAGATGGGTGCACGCTGTTGCCATAAACGACTCACTTCAAACGCCCTTGTTACCTCCTCCGTGCCTTCTTTTCCTCCCAGCCGGCTGCCACTCAAAACACAAAAATGTGAACCCGAGGTTTCCCTGCAGCCTTGCCCTGTGTAAGTGACGTCACGGCACAGATTTGTTTACTATGGTTGAACCCGGAAACGAGGCTGGCGAATGCTTAGCATTAGTGAGGAAAGCCCTCAGAATTACTCTAAGGGAAATTAGCGATGAATACATAATTTGACAATGTATCAAAAGTATAGCCCCCTGATATTGATAGTTAATCAAAAAAACATAAAATGGCTTTAAAAATAACTAAAAAAATTTTTTTTTATATTTGAATCAATATTTCATTTTATTTAATGTCTTCAATGTAGATAGGAGAATATTTTAACTTTTTTTTTTTTAAACCCCCTCGCAGGATAACAGCTATTCGCTTTAATTCCCATTGTTTTTAGTATTTTAGTGGGAATTTCACAAGCCAGACGTAATCATAAACTATAAAAGATGCTCAAGAGGGTTCAATTCATAAATTAAATGTTTGAATTAAACATTTTAATTTTTAAGACCTTCATCCTTATGCCTATATGGCTCAAGTTTTCTATGCCAAAACCCTTTTTCCTCTTAAATAAAAGATCCTATTCTAGTTTTATAAAAACTTTCAATTACTTCCGGGTCGTAATCAATGTCAACAAGGAACATTTCTACACATGCAGATGGTCGGAAAACAAACAACGACAATTGTTGCTAAACTCTTAAAGTCTTTCAATGCCGTGTGCTACATTAAATAACAGGTGTTATAAACATATAAATAGACGTATTAAATTAATATAATTTAAATTCATTGAAATTGTGACCAAATAGAGTAGCAGTCTAAGTCTGAACTGAGGAGTGAAGTTGAAGGCATTGAAGGCTCAAAATCGTCTTTTTATTTTTGTGTGTGGCTAGTGTGGACTGCGGAGTGTGATGGCGGTAAAATTTTTGAAGACCAGACGTACCTCCCTTCTCAACACCAGGAATTTCATGGGTTTATGGACCATTATCAACAGAGGTTTTAAATATTGTATCAAAATCAGTCAATAAAAATGTCGAGGCTGGGGGGTCCACACACTAGGCAAGCAAGGATTGTATTCCAAAGGCCTTTATTTTTTTATTTCAGTTTTTCAAAATCTAATACTTTGACATAAATTTTAAATATTGTCCTATTGCCATGAATGATACATCACTTTAAAGAGCTAGCTATAAACTTTACAAAACCACAAATTTCATCTTTCTATCTTTTATAGAAGTAGAGTTATTTTTTTGTAGAATTTTTTTTAAGCCCCTTATATAATCTATATATTTTACCCTCAAAACCATGTGACCCAAATCTCTGCACTATTTTGTCCACATTTTTATTTTTAAAGATAATTGTACAAAATTTTCAGGGTTATTCCCAATCATATATACAACACAAAGAACAAAAAAACTTTTACATTACCTCAGGACTTTTTATTTTGGATAATTTTCTTTGTAGATATGTTTAAAAAAAATCATGTACAGAAAAATTGGGAAAATAATCATTTGTAAGGGCAAAAACAAAAAAATAACATGTTCATTGTATTTTAATTAAATATATGATTAAGTCATTTTTTAAATAAATTCTTATATTTGTAAAAAGTAAGTAGAAGTCTCTTTTAAATGTAAAATTGAATGCATAAAAACAACTAAAATCACTCATAAGACAAGACTAATACTACGACTACGAGCATACCAGTACCGGTATGAGATTAAATTTTAAAAGACAATGGAGATGTTCTGCCTGTCATTTTCTGTGTAGACTGTTTGGTCTTGTTGATGAATCCCACGATATCTCCTTCGTAAACTTTGTCTTTGCCATCTACATCAAAACGTGCCTCACAGTCGATGGACGGAATTCTGCAAAGTTCTTCAATATAAAATTTTAATTTCTTACGTACCCTGTACTTGAAAGAAGCATAGCCATAGCACTTAATTATAAATATAGTCCTAAATGTACACACTATCTAATTTCTTTTTAATATTATTCAATTTTTGAGTTTCTGAAAACTAGTTATAGCCCCCCAAACATTGGCAACAGCAATGAGTGAACTTCCCATCTACTAAAGTTGCTTGACAAAAACATGAACTCAAGTTATGCACATTTCAGAATGCCAATTTTGCTACCCCCCTTCCCCCCCCCCCCTTTTTCCATGATACGTCACTGCACTCTTTTTATTTCACGTCCATATAAATATAGCCGACCCGCAGCTTAGCATACGCCGCGAGCTTGTTGGGTTGTGCGCATGGCTGGCAAGCGAGGTTGGTGCAGGAGGGGGGGGCGGTAGCTCCACCGCAGTGCGCATGTCTTGATCGAGACCAACGATGGGCAGGCAGGCAAGGGAAGGGAGGGTTTGCCTGTGTCTTGCTTGCTTGCTCTGGCATATCTATATATAGCCTGCATCGTCGTCTTGTCGTCTTGTTCTTGTCCTAGTTTTTCTGTCGTATTGTATACATATTTTTATACATATTTTTTTTTTTTCCTTATTTGATTATTTTGATTATATTAAATATTTGTCTGTCTATGAAAACTGTTTTAATATGTCTGTAAAAACACACAGTATTAAAATATTTTATAAAATTTACAATTAATTAACATTAATAATTAAATACCTTATTATAATTTTAAAAATGCAGATTTTAATTAGGCTTATAAGAATATTAGTAATTAGGCTTTTTATCTTATGCCTAAATGGACTATAATAATGATAACTTTTATTGTTATAACTAATAAGTAGGCCCTAATTTTAATGATAAAATCCCATATGATTAGGCATTAATAAGAGAATAACTATTATTATTATTATTGATACAATTAATGACGTTACGATTGATTATTGATTCTATAAAGAGAACCGATAAAATTTTTAGGCCTACACACAATTTTAAATGTAAAACTCCGGTAAAACTTATGACAACCCTCTGATTCCCAACTAAAAACTTTTTCAGTTTGGTTAAAATTTGTTATTTAATTTTGTAAAACTATTTATTTGAAACTACTTAGTATTATTCAGATGTTAAGGGATGCAACAACTACGATTAAATTCATAATTGACAGTGATAAATGACACAAATACTAATTGCTTATATCACTCTACTTTATAATCATAAACTTTGTTTTTAAAATATTTCAGAGGAATAATTGAGTGGGGGTGGAGCCTTTTGGGCAGATCATAAGAGATTTGTATATTTTTCTCTAGGTACATTGATTCTACATTGAAAACAATGTTGAATAAAGTAATTAACAGAAGTCAACTGAAAGTAGTGTTCAAAATTAGATCATATGTTTTTTCACTATTTTGCATGGGCAGTATTCCTTTTGCTTAGACTATGTATAAGTACCTATAGGGAATGAGCAGTTGAAATCTATCCAGTCATTTTTAGCACAGTATAATCTCACCCTAGATATTCTTTGGTATCATATTGCTGACCCTGGCATATTATTTTATGGGTTCGGCTTATCAGCAGTTTGTACAATTTCAGGCTTTCCCATGCCAAAACTAAGGGTCAACTTATGAACAAACAGTCTTTATATCAAGTATATATGGCATGTGATTTGACTGACCTCTGGCCAATATTGCCAATATAAAGAGATTTGACATTGTTTCTTACCTACAATAAAGCTGACATCTTGTGTGTCAATTCTATTATAAATAAAGAAAATTTATAAAATATGAAGATTAAATTTCTGAGTATTTATAAGTAGATGCTTAGCATGATAGATTCAGAAAATATGCTCTTTAATAATCAACAGAGTTCTGATTTTAATGTGAATGAAAATCAATCTAAGACTGTCTTACAGGACTTTATAATTTCTAGTTAGCTGAGAAAGAAACAGAATGGGAAAACATTGCTAAACAAGGTCCAACCGGGATGCATGGTAACACTATGTATAACAAAGTTAAAATGAAACAGAAATTTTGTACATTGGTTTTTCAGAAGTAATCATATCCTCAGATTTCATTTGTTCTTATTGAAATGAAGCAACATCATCCCTATTGGTTTTAATTAATAATTTAAATCATGACATTGGCCTAGTAATAAACCCTCAATTTGACTTTGTTAAAATGTATATGAGTCTATCTATTCATCCTTTGACTATTAAATTTTCAAAAAAAAATTTCTTTAAGTACGTGTTCTTTCTTTTTTGTTCCATTACAGGCCCTTTCTTGAGCACATGAAGATCAAGAATCCAGAAACTCTCAACTGCTTTTATGACATCATTTCAACACAAGTTTAAATATAACATATCAACATGCTAGCAAGGATATTTTTCTACCCAACTGTGGCCATCAACACATTTATGTGCATAAATGCCACCAGACACTGGTATGATCGAATTGATGAAACTGTCATTCTTGGTTCACTGCCACTGAAATCAGTTACAAGGAAGGTAAAATATGGCTTGTTGTCTTCTTTTTTCTTTTTTTTTCAGTTGATATAAAATACATCTTCATCTATGACATAGAATCTAAGAATGGCTGGTGGTGTGATTAATTTTAAAATTTAGAATTACTTTGAAGGAAAAATATTACATGGAACTTCTGAGTTGTATATTTTGTTTGAAGAGATTAAGCACTGGTTGGCATAAAATGCTAAAAGATACTAAACCTTTAAAGGCCTACCACATTTACCTGTCTAAATCATTCAATTGTGTGCATTTGTGTTATCGTCATTAAATAAATATAATTATTGTAAGTCCTAAATGTTTATGATTTATAATGTATAATTAAACTCCCCAGAGAATCATATTCTTCAACAAATTGTTAACGGCATGGTTTTCTTAACTTGTACATTATGTTTATGGTTCATTAAGACCACAGGTATCTGTAAACATGATGCCCTAACTGCGACTCATTCAGAAGTGACGTGGCTTCATCACAAGAAACCCCATTTTACCTTTATAATTCATGGGAATAAGTTATTAGGCCACTTATCATTCATTTTTTTTAGTGAGGAGCCATTTTTATAAATTATATATGTTAAGAAATTAATTTGGGGAGTGATAGCCATTATAAATTTGTATTACAAAAGAGCTGCATTTATTCCTTCAAAGAGTCATAAGTATCTCCAGAGCTGGGGGTAGTCAACCACTGCTCTAGACTTACAGTCCTGTTTGGCCCAAATTAACTCTTTTCAAAATTATCCATTTTCAGCTCATTGCTGAAGAGAATGTGAGAGCCATGGTTACCTTGAATGAAGACTATGAGCTAAAACACTTAACATATTCTAAAGAGGTAATAAAATACTTTTAACACACTACCCAAAGATATGGAAAACTATAGCGGAAAACTATAGCGGATTACATTAAATACTATAACCTCCACAAAGATCAATGTTTAACTAAGAAGTGTCAAGAACAGACACCAGTTCAGAAACTGTACGTTTTCTATAGCCGCCTGGACACACCCGAAGATGAATGGAATGTTCTGGTTGGCTTTTATTTGCCTTGTGGCTACTCTGCTTGACTGACACAAATGATTCTGTTCATCTTGTAGGTTTTAACTTTTTAATTAAAGGTCACTAACCAATCATAACATTTAAGCATCTCTCATTTAAAGCTTTTTATCTCCCTTATCGCCGTACCTTTAAATTAAAACTCCTTGTCACTAGGATGCAATGATGAAAATGCCAAAGGGGTCGTTCGCAAATTACATCACGTTCAAGGCGGGGGGGTGGGGGGGGGAGGGTGGCGTTTGAGATTTGTGACAGGGGGAGGGGGGTTAAAAAAATTGTGACAACACTTTTTTTTTTAAAACTAAATCTAATTTTGAAAAATCTTTATTAACTAATTTTAGAAATATTAATTTGTGGTCAAAATTGCCACAGGTATTATAGGTATTATGAGTCGCTTATACCTTTTGTGCATATAAAAAATTGACGCAAAAACTGTTGTGGCTATTTTACATTTGGCTTGTGGATGACTTTGTTGTTTCGTTTCACAGTTTTCTAATAATACTACATCTTAATACACTATGGGAAAATGTTAAAGAATAAAATTAATGTTTGTTTAGTTATGAAAATTTTATGTATGTTTTGATTTTTGTAGGTGTGATGGGACACAGGGGGGGGGGAGGGGGAGTGGTGTTGTTGTAAAGAATTTGTGACACTTCGTGACAGGGAGGGGGGGTAAAAAAAAAACAGTCATTTTTTTTGTTATGTAATTAAGAACGGCCCCAAAACCATGTCTTATATATATTTTCCTTATGGTGTACTGCTTCCTCTTACAAACCGCCCTTCTCCCAACTCCACATGTTTTATATCAATTGTACTGAGTGAAAAAGAAGGCTGTCACTCAGCGAACAGTGACCTTAGAACTCATGTAAATAGTTTCATTATTTTTCTCAAGCGTGAGGCAACTATTAATCAATAAAGAGCCACAGATATTTTGTAGGGCCGTCTGTTGGAATGTTGTACGACTATTGTTTAAAGGCGAGCTTATATTATAGAAAATGAGAAGTTAACTCTCTTTTTGTAACACATGGACCCATCCTGTATTTTCTCAAAATACCAGGACCTGGCATAAATAAACTGCACCCGGTTAAACCCCAGTATTATTATATTTATTTAATAGGAAATTTGTAGGAAAATTATTTATTTATTTTTTAAACTTTTGTTGATTACTTGCTGTCATCCATGTGTTGACATTTTCTTTTAAAAGACAGGTTCTCAGTTACAAATTATCTAATAAGAAGATAAGTTAAATCTATGAATAAAATGCAAAATTTAATTTTAAACACTGAAACAAAATTACCAATGATTTTATTAATTGCTAGTTGAATCATAATGATAAATTCTTTGTATCCTCATATTTTGGCAATCCCAGGAGCTGAATAATTTGGGTATCGAGCAGTTGCAGCTGAGCACAACAGATCTTACTGGGACACCAACTCAGGAAAACATAACCAGAGGAGTGAAGTTCCTGACAGAGCACAGAGAGGAAGGCAACACGGTGTACCTCCACTGTAAAGCCGGCCGTACGCGCAGTGCGACGTTGGCGGTGTGCTATCTCATGCAGGTAAGCCTGATGCGACACTTTCCTTTGTTTGATCCAGGTGAAGTTTGCTGTCAAAAATTACCATCTCATAAATCAAGTGGCTTCTCTGTAGTTTCATTCTTTTTTTAAATTAAAACCATGTATATTTTAAAACTTTTTTTTCTTAACATGAGTGACCGGCAGTTCTGTCCTTGTGCCCTGTTGTGCTTATAAAACAGGCTCAACTTCATGTTTACAAATTCTGCTTAAAAAAAATTGTTTTTCACCAAACAAACTAAATCAATTTTTTTGCAAAACTTAAATCAATTGTGCTTGGTGGGTGGAAGTGTCTCTGTGTTAACAGAATGGTGGCAAATAAAATGCCTCAAATTTAAGAGACTGCCTTAAAGGGAATAAACAATATGCACAACAACCGGTTTAAATGATAACGTGTGATGTTTACTTCAATCTGCAACATCTTTACTTCTTGATAGTTTACATATGTGTGTTTTCTTGTCATTTTGCTATAGCTTACTCATGTGTGTTTCTTCTTCTTCCATATATTAAGGGCCCACGATCAATTTATTGATCATTTTGGCTCCTATGCAATGTTTCTGTGCCTGGTGATTATGAGGATATTTCACTGATTGCAAGTGCTACTTTGTGAGGGAATCATGCACTGGGGGTTGGAAGGCTTGAGGCAATAGACGCAAATGTGTCAAGTGTTGTCGCCTCAACTGTTCCTTTTAAAAGCTTGTTCCAGTCCCTAATTGTCTTTGGCAGGAATGAGCAGTTCCTATGCTGGTATGAGCTGGCATTGCCTGTCATGGCCTCGTCGCTGTCTATGGGGGAGAAGGATGAGTTTCTGTTTAATACTGGAACAGTGGACCAGCCCATTATTTATCTTGTACATCATGGAGAGCCTGGATTGTCGTCGTCGTTCCTCCAATGGTGTCCAGCCTAGTGTTTCCAGCATGCTGCCAACACTAGAGGTATTCCTGTAGCGGTTTAGGACAAAGCGTGCTGCTCGTCGCTGGACCGCCTCCAACCTGTCAATGCTCTTCTTGGTAAATGGGTCCCAGACTGAAGATGCATAATCTAAAACCGGACCGACAAAGGCTTTATAGGCTCTTTCTTTCACACAGGAGTTGCCAATCTTTAGATTACGCCTTAAGAACCCCAGGGTCTTGTTTGCCTAGTTACACACATTATTAATATGCTCGTCCCAGCGGACCTCTCTTTTAATGGTAACACCCAGTTACATAACGGAGGAAACTGGCTCAAGTATATGGCCATGCAGTTCGTATTGGTAGTGTAGAGGAGTGCAACTTCTAGAGACTGATAGTGTCTGGCACTTGGCAGGGGGAAATTCCATGTCCCAGCTCTTTTCTTGTCATTTGCCTATAGCTTACTCATATTTGTTTTCTTGTCATTTTCCCATGAGCTTACTCATGTGTATTTTCTTGTCATTTGCCTATAGCTTACTCATGTGTGTTTTCTTATAATTTTGCCTATTGCTTACTCTGTGTTTTAGGGTGGGTGTGTGAGGGTGTGTGGGTGAGAGTGTATGTATGTGTGTGTGTGTCTGTTCACTTGCACTTCACCTGCCACTTTATCTGACTCATGTATGTCTGATGTATTTTTTTATTATATTGAAACGTGTCATCTTTTCTTTTGCAAGCTGATCTATTTATTTATGTAACTCCTTTGATCCCAATCATAATCCTGTGATCCCATCCATAATCCTGTGATCCCATCCATAATCCTGTGATCCCATTCATAATCCTATATGATCCCATTCATAATCCTGTGATCCCATCCATAATCCTGTGATCCCATTTATAATCCTATATGATCCCATTCATAATCTTCTGACCTCACTCCTAATCTTCTGATCTCATCCATAGATACACCAGTGGGATCCAGAGAAAGCCATAGATTTTGTGAAGAGCAAACGTCCTCTTATCTGGCTGAGGAGCAAACAAATGGAATCTATTCATCGTTTTCATCAAAGTCTGAAATTTTCTTGACAGCAGATTCGATTGATGTTTGTTGGTTTTTTTGGTTGTTTACATCATGGCATTTACAACTGTATATAAAATAAATCATTAGACCACCGGCAATTAGAAATTTTTTTATATAGAAAATTGTTTATTCTATTGTTTGTTGTTTTTTTGGGGGGGTTTTTTTAGAACTTGGAGGGTGGCAAATGAATCAGACTATAAATAACATTTTTGTTGGACCAGGCATTTTATTGGTCAGAAGTTTGGCCACAGTCCAGCATAGCGGGTGCCAACTGACAAATTATAATATGTGCGGCTTAACAGGTACACTTTGTATCCTTTTAACAACATTCATCATCTATGACTAGGAGACGATAAGTGAAGGACTGCATTCAAGCTGTGTAAATGAAATAGTAGGACAACGTATGTGGAACCTAGGCCTCAATACCTCATTTTTAAAAAAAATTGCAACAATGGGATTAAAGGTTAATGTCCAGAATCATCGAATGTATCAATAATTAAAATGAGATTGATATCTCTATAAAATGCTATAATAATAAAAATAAGATTCATGTATCTTTAAAAAAAAATACTATAATAATTCACATGAGATTGATGTCTCTATAAAATGCTAAAATAATTAAAATGAGAATGTAAGAGTAATATTGAAAAGAGAAATGACATTAGTCTATCTTGTCAAAATGTGAGCTTCAGCTCTTTTTTTTTTTTTAAAAAAAAAAAAAAAAAAAAAAAAAAGTGGGGGGGGGGGGGGCTGAAAATTGATTAAACGAAACAACGGAAGTGTCGACAGGAAGCCTTCTTCAGCGAACAAAAAAACAAGTGAACAACAAAATAAACTAAAATAAATTATCTGATGGTGTGTAGAGAGTTCGAGATAATAAAATGGCCGTGAACTAAAGATTGCACCGAAATAAACTGATAAGGCAATGGAAGTTGGAAGTGCACAACGATTGGCTGTAACCAACAAAGGTGAGGGAGGCATTAGTGTCAGCCACAAGTAAACCACAACATTCCTGTCTGAAGCGTGGCGGATACCGCTGTTGACGATTCTCTGGCTAAACGGAGAAGCCAGGGCAGGGTGGGTTTTTTCATAAAGAAAGCTGGAATTTTCATTGGCTACAATGTCAAGGTAGCCTTATTTTACATACACTAGACGGTCACACCTTCATAACCATCCTTGAAGCACCCGTACAATTTTAACACCCCCTACCCTTTGTGCCAATATATGTACCATTGTGATTCTCAAGCCATCCCCCCACACCCCCTACCCTTTGTGCCAATATATGTACCATTGTGATTCTCAAGCCATCCCCCCACACCCCCTACCCTTTGTGCCAAAATATGTACCATTGTGATTCTCAAGTCATCCCCCCACACCCCCTACCCTTTGTGCCAATATATGTACCATTGTGATTCTCAAGTCATCCCCCCACACCCCCTACCCTTTGTGCCAATATATGTACCATTGTGATTCTCAAGCCATCCCCCCACACCCCCTACCCTTTGTGCCAATATATGTACCATTGTGATTCTCAAGTCATCCCAGCGCCCCCCCCCCTTCCAAAAAGAAGGTATAATTTATGTCCAGACTGTTATAACTGACACAGAAGAGATTTTTTTTTAAAATGTTACTGGTTTTCGACATTTTTTGCGACCTCCATTGGTTGCAGACCTACCTACATTGTACCCTTTTTGAGAATCTTTGCTCCAGCCGAACGAAATAATTATGTCACAAGCTTCGTTACAAGCATGGAGTCATGCGATGGACTTAAGTTTGTTTTTTTTTTCTGCTGCTCTCCTCCCCAATTATCCAAAATGTATCACAAAATTAAGATAATCTCGTCACACTTTGTCAAAAATACATTTTATCCCCTACCCCTCTTTTTTATCTTTTTCCCTCCGCTCTAGAGTCTTGACGTCATTCAGACAAAACTGTGACTATTGATTGAGATAATTAGTGAGTTCATAAAGAAGGACCAACTATTGATTGAGATAATTAGTGAGTTCATAAAGAAGGACCAAAAAAAAAAAGAAAAAAATGAAAGACACAACAACATTCTGACAATAATTAATGACGAAACATTACGGTGATATTTTCGTAGCTTTTGAAAATAATTAGAAATAATGGATTTTTACATATTTTTTAGGTGACAGCCGTCTCGTCTTTATTAGAGATACAGACAGGTTATAATGGGGCTGTCAGTATTTCAGGACAATTGAGTTATGGCAGAGTGCGTGGTTAAGACGACCTATCGCCTTTTGCCGAGACCTCTCCAGCGGTGTGGTGTGCTAAAGCCGGTTCGGGTGAACCTGTTGTTAAATGTTGACTATTTTTTACGAAATAGGCTGTTGAAAATGTCAAAACAATTTTTTTTTAAATCATTTTTCAAATACATTATGTTTTGTTTTTTTTCTTTCTTTAACCTACAATTAACGAATCGGTTGTTACTTGATTGGTAGCACACCGCTGCCCGGACCCAGTTCCACACAGATATTTAAATCAACATTCCCCCCTACTCAGTGTGCACGTATGAATGGGTGGCACTTAGCCGCATGTGGTTGGTAGTCGGAGTTTTCCGTCTCTTTCGTCCGCCACCCTATACAGTGTTGGTAGGTCACATCCAGCTGAGGTCCCACATGCAGTGGCGTCCCTAGGGGTGCGGACTGCACTGGGTGACACCCTAACACCAAATCGGAAAATGGGATTTTACAGGGTTCCTTTGAGACGGTCTCAAAACATGGCTCAGTTTAAAAAGACCTGGATTCAACCAGAGCAGGGTGCCACAAGAACAGGTAAAATACCACAGCATGGTGTCACCAGACATAGAGTGGTTCCATCAGAGTAGGTTGCAGACAGAACAGGATACCACCAAAACAGTGCCATCAGAACATGGTGCTACAAGAACAGGATGCATCCACTGCAGGGTACCAGCAGAGCAGTTGTTTGCCACCGGAGCAGTGTAGCGTGTCACCAGTGCAGCATGCCACCATTACAGCGTGCCACATTACAGCGTACCACCATTGCAGGGTGCCACCATTATAGCGTGTTGCCAGAGTACGCAGACTCCGAGGGGATGTATGCGGATGTCTGGAAGGAAAGAAGAAAATGGCAGGGGAGAAATCAAGACCTACCTGACTCATTCTGCAAGAAAGAAACTAGAGAGCGATGCTTGAGTGCATTGGGGTTGTCACTTGATACTCCATATCAATATCAAGAGTCATACGTTTGAGACAGTTCAATATAAAAGGCCACTTTGGGCAACCGAAGAAGAGTCACTCGTGTCCATTCTTAAACTGAATACTCTCTATGATGAGTTATCTGAAAAAGAACTTTTAATTGCAAGGCCAGCCCCGAACCCAGCGGAAGGTATTAAATATAAGTCTTGACGAAGCCCAAGAATGGTCAATTTTAGATTTTTCGACATTCGTATAGCTCAGGCCTGCACAACATACGGCCCGCGGGCCACATGTGGCCCTCGAAGTAACAAAATATTCTTTATTATTATTATTTATTTAATGTCTTTGCCCCCTGTCCAATTTTTTTCTTGGCCCGCACAAGTCCTGTCCTATTTTCTTATGGCCCGCACAAGCTTTTCACAAAGTATTACGGCCCACCTTAGATTTTGAGTTGTGCAGGCCAGGTATAGCTGAATTGGACTTCCTAGAATCTCTCCCCGTCCGCTCATTAAGATTACAATTATATATCTCGATCTGTTTGTCTGTGGCTTCGAGCGAGAGATTTTCAAAACCTGACACTAATTTTTATTACATTTCATTTTTTTTTTATTTTTTTTAACTATTAGTGACAATTTTCCACCATGGAAGGGTTCAGAGTTTCTGGTCTTACGACTTTGTCAATTGAAAGTCTTGAGGTGAAGTATGTTGAATTAATTGACTTGATTCAAATTGAAAGTTTAACATATTTAAAGACAGCAAAAGTTTAATTTCAATAAAAAAAATATGGCTCATTGTTTTGTGTTCATTTATAGTATTTATTTTTTTTTTAATCATGGTAAAAAAAAATCGGTAATCGGCTTAGTAAAATCAACAACCGATTTTTGGCTTCAAAACTGGTTTGCAATTTACAAACATTGGTATATTCACATTATATGTATCATACCGCCAGTGTTAAATACATGAATCAGACCATAATTAACATGTATGAGACGATAAATAATAACATCTACGGTACGAGACAATAGCAAACACGCATCAGACAATCAGAACATCTGTCAGACAATCAGAACATCTGTCAGACAATCAGAACATCTATCAGACAATCAGAACATCTATCAGACAATCAGAACATCTATCAGACAATCAGAACATCTATCAGACAATCAGAAAATCTATCAGACAATCAGAACATCTATCAGACAATCAGAACATCTATCAGACAATCAGAACATCTATCAGACAATCAGAACATCTATCAGACAATCAGAACATCTATCAGACAATCAGAACATCTGTCGGAGAGTAAGAGCATGTAAAACAAATGAATGTTATGAAATCGACTTATTAGGGACTCGAACAAACTCTTCCCTCACCCCCCGAAACAAAACAAAAACGGCCCAACAGCCCCACCCCCTCCTTAACAGGGTCATATATTTCTGCATCATCCTCCCGTAAAAAATATCAAGATCTACTTGGAGAACTGCAGTTTTTCTGTCACTGTATTTATGGGCTCCACGTTCCTATGAACTGTACACATTTTCGCCCAGTGAACAAGCCTTGTCTTTATGACGTTCCTGAACGCACTGTTTTGCCACACGTAGATGACAAAGTTTGCGCAGTAGTGCAGAGACGAGACGCGAAGCAGGTAGATGCGGGTCGCGTCCAACTGGTTATTCCCGTTGAACGTCTTGTAGGCGTTGACGTACACGTAAGGGCTCAGGGACACGGCGAAGAACACGAACACGGTGAGGAACAGTCGCACCGCTCTCCAGTGCTTCAGGCTCGGGGTCAGGATCTGATCGCGGATGTTCTTCGTGTAGCTCCTGGGCACCGTCTTCGAGATGGCCTCGATGTGGCGCCGCGTGATCACGACGATGTGGTAGTAGATGGCGAAGATGAAGCAGCAGGCGACCGTGTGCGAGACGGGGAGGAGGTAGACCTCGATGAAGAAACCCCCGTCGCTGCCGACGATTTGAGTCGCGCACGCGAACACGCCCGCCAGAACCCAAATCGAGGCCACCGACACTGCGAAAAAGAGCTTCCCGATGCACCGGCCGTACGCGAACGGCCTCGCGATGTAAAACCACCGCTCCAGCGACATGGCCAGGAAGCAGCCGTAGTTGGCGGCCGTGGAGAACCACCAGAAGTAATCGAGCGGTTTGAAGATGACGGGGTCACGGCTGCTGAGATCAACGTCCGTCAGCCCGAGGCATCCAAACGCCAAGGCCGTGAGGGCGAAAAGCAGGTCGCTGACGGCGACGGAGCACAGGAACACCGCGGACTTGTTCCGGAGTTGACGGTGGCCCAGGAAGACAACCAGGGTGATGACGTTGAAAATGATTGTCGGGACAAAGATGGCGACCAACGTGATGTGCATGTAGAGTGGGTAATAAAACGCGGGGATTGTTGAGTTGATGGCGTCATCTACACGTGTGAAGTTTGTGAAGTTGAGAGCGTCAACTAAACGTGTGTAGTTTGTTGACTTGATGACGCCCGCTAAACAAGTGTAGTTTTTTGAGTTCATGACCTCAGCAGGAAATGTGTCGTTTTTTGAAGTTGAGAACGTCAGCTGCACATGTGCTGTTTCTTGAGTTGACGGCATCCCCTACACATGTGTAGTTTGTCGAGTTGATGGTGTCGTCAACATATGTCAAGTTTGTATAATTGAACACAACCTTGTCAATCATCGTGTTGATTGGCGGCGTAATTATGTGAGCTGAACATCAAGCAATCCCTGTTTTCAATGTTTACGTACTAAGTGTTTACCTGACGTCAAAGTCTGAGGCTATGTTAATTAGCACGGTGATGTTGTCAGGCGCTGAGCTACTTTTGGAAACCAGAAATAAGAACACTCGCTAATATTATTTTTTTTGAGCTAACGTTTTCAAATATTTTAAACGACACTCTGTTCTATGCGTTATCTTTGAGCATCTCTGTTCTAGTTCTATGCGTTATCTTTGAGCCTCTGACTGAATCGAATGCTTCAGATTAGGGTTTGAGTTGGATGGAAACTGATTGGATTTTTTTTTTAACACGTGTCGTGAATACGCCTGCGTGAAATGTGGCGCGAGAAATCTGGCGCAAATGATTATGGAAATCTATTCTCAAAGCGATAAGCAAATCCCTCAAGTACAAATGTCTCAATCGAAATTCCGAACAATTTTATTGTTGTTGTTTTGTTTTGTTTTTTGTTTTTTTTTGTTGGTTTTTTGCGATGTGGATCATTGTAAGAATATGTTTCGCCGACTAATTTTTTACTCCACAGTTTACCAATATTTTGAATCACATTCACTATGTAGTCAAAGTTGTAGGGAGGGAAACTGTTTCGGAAAACACAGCACTATATTATATATATTTTTTTTTAAACATTCCTGACTGATGTATCCACGTAATGAACACGACAAGGGAGATTGCGTGTTTGTCATAATATAGCCTCGAGCAGGCCTATATATGTCCAGGCCGTTCACAGGTAAACCACGTGATAGCCAAGACTATAATAAAATAATGTTTTAAAAAAACACACAAGCTTGCTCTCCATCACGTCTAGGGGAAAGTTTAAAAAAAAACAAAAAAAAAACTAATTTGAAAAGACAACAGCAGACTTATCAATCTCTCACGCTTTCCGGGAGTTCCTTTCCAATTGGCGTTGCTTTTATCTCTTGTGTTTGTTCGATTCATTAACTTTATTTTTTTTTTATTTTTTTTTAAAGATCTCTAGTTCCCCGGGGATGATTGTCATTATATTGAAGAATGGATAAATTAGGTCACCCGAGGTAAAGAACACAATATGTGGGATTTAACTTTAAAATGTCAGCCGAGGTCAGTGATCTGGAAAAATGTGATTCTGTCTATGCTTGACCCAAGAAAATATGGAATCTTTCAGCAAGTTGTGTACATATCATTATGAAGTCGTGCCCAAAATAATGTTTGGCATTACAAAAGATTAGAGTTTATCCTTGCGTCATCGGAACAAGTACTGGATTTTGGTGCCATGCCGTGTGCCGCCGGGTTCACACTATCCCTGGTGTGGCAACAGATCCCTGTTATTGTGTAGTAGTGAAGGGTATAGATTCCCGTTATTGAGTTGTGTAGTAGTGAAGGGTATAGATTCCCGTTATTGAGTTGTGTAGTAGTGAAGGGTATAGATTCCCGTTATTGAGTTGTGTAGTAGTGAAGGGTATAGATTCCCGTTATTGTGTTGTGTAGTAGTGAAGGGTATAGATTCCCGTTATTGTGTTGTGTAGTTTACGAATAACTATTTTGAACAGAATTATTATATTTTTTAAGTTTGAATTTAAAAAGTATTTTTTTAAATAACCATAATGGAACCTAAATTTCCTCAAGCATCTCTTCTGTAGCTCGTCCATAAAGTGAAGAATGGTGCAAAACTAAAGTTCAGGTGTGCATCCCTGCATTTTAAATGCATACAAAAATGTGTGGAGTGGCTCACCTTGGCCCCTCCCCAAACCCCAACTCACGTTTCGTTTGGGAGTCTTCGGTGCCCTCAATTTCTGCTCCCCTCTCCTATCAAAGTGACGGTACCGGTACCTTTTTTAGCTACAAAAAAAAAAAAAAAAGATCAATAGATGTTAATAAAAATAAAATGATTTTCTCATCGAACTTACAACTATGTGAGTTTCATTTAGCTTGGTAGATGTAAAGTTGGACTGTATTATATTCAAGGGGCGTAACTAAGCTTGTGCCAAAAGCATACCCTCACCAATAAGGTGCAAAAGTCTGAATGAAGTTATGTATAATATGCATAGTGGGGCTGATGGAGTCAGATCTTTGCCAAGGGTGACATTATGATACCACCCCCCCCCTCGCTTCTTTTCCTTTCCGATGAAATTTAAAGAATTTCTGGTAGTAACGCATGGGCCAAACCTGGGCCCAAAATGTTGCTCTTAACGTTACTCGAATCGGTAAGACAGGAATAGAAGGCCTCAGTGCATTAAATTCCCCGGGGTTCACGACTGCCCTGTTCAAGGGACAGAGATAAGACTTACCGACAAATACGTCACTAGGGTTACTGTCACCCGATGCGGTAAGCTCATGGTGTCAGCCCCCTCTTGTTTGACCCCCTCCCCCCCCCCCAAAAAAAAAACAAAAAAAACAAACAAACAAACAAACTGCACCTTGTAGTTGTTAACCAGATCATGCAGACTCGCTTATTCAATAAGTTATTGTATCTTTTGTAAATCACCCGATGCGGTAAGCTCATGGTGTCAGCCCCCTCTTGTTTGACCCCCCCCCCCCCCCCAAAAAAAAAACAAAAAAAACAAACAAACAAACAAACTGCACCTTGTAGTTGTTAACCAGATCATGCAGACTCGCTTATTCAATAAGTTATTGTATCTTTTGTAAATTAAGCCCTAACGCAACAAAGCACGTAAGAAGAAAACAGAAGTTTAAATTTTAAAAAATTGAAATATGAAACTAAACACTTCAAACTTGAATTGAATGGTGTTCAAAAATTCAAACATGTCGATCACTTCATCAAAATCAACATTTAACACTTCAACTTATCATTTCCAATTTACAAAATCTAAAGACCAGAAAGCCTGATTTCTGACATTGGTGAAAAGCAACATACACACGAAGAAAAGCTACACACACATGAAGAAGAGCTACACACATGAAGAAGAGCTACACACACAATAAGAAAATCTGCACACACATGAAGAAGAGCTACACACATAAAGAAAAACTACACACACATGAAAAAGAGCTACACACACATGAAGAAAATATACACACACATGAAGAAAAGCTACACACGCACATGAAGAAAATCTACACGCACATGAATAAGAGCTATACACGCACATAAAGAAAAGCTGCACACACATGAAGAAGAGCGACACACACATGAAGAAACAGACAAACTTCGTGAAACGTAATTGTAGACTAAATAAGAGTACTGCGAGAGATTGCTAACCCTACTTTCGTGGCACCCTGCTCCGGTGAAATCCTACTCTGGTGACATCATACTCTGGTGAAATCCTGCTCTGGTTCCCACTTCTGGTGACATGAATGGATACGTCTTGAGTTGTCAACTGCGCTCTATTTTTTGTTATATTTTCATTTCTACTGTTGGCTGAGGAAGGCTTTATGCCGAAACGTCCTTGTTTTTTGTCCTGTTATCTTATTCAAGCTTCACACATACCCCGTTTTGCTATTTTATTCATTTACTAAGCTTGAACGCAATCCTTTCATTTACATTTTCTGGTGTAGAGACCGACCGAAAGTGATTTTCTGATTTCGGCTGAAACTGAAACTAGGCCGAAATCTTAAAATGACTTTCGACCAAAACCGAAATTAAACCGAAAGTTAACATTACAGTTTCGGCCGAAACCGAAATTAGGCCGAAAGTGATCAGATGGTCACTTTTTGCACCGAAGCCGAAGCCGAAATTCGGTCGGTCTCTACTCTGGTGAAATATCCTGCTCTGTTCTGTTTGCAAACCACTCTAATGAAGCAACGATCTGGGGGGGCCACCTTATTTTTTTGCACTCTGTTCTGGTGGTACCCAGTTCTGATGACACCCTGCTCTGGTGGCATTCTTCTTGTGGCACCCAGTTCTGATGACACCCTGCGCTGGTAGCATTCTATTATGGTTGCACTCTGTTCTTGAACTTTATTTATTTTTTTATGTTATGAAACCGACCCGATCGAACTCTTTTAAATTTGCACTTTCCATTTTGCGCCCCCCCCCCCCCCCTTGTACGGGTGTCCTCCCNGAGAGATTGCTAACCCTACTTTCGTGGCACCCTGCTCCGGTGAAATCCTACTCTGGTGACATCATACTCTGGTGAAATCCTGCTCTGGTTCCCACTTCTGGTGACATGAATGGATACGTCTTGAGTTGTCAACTGCGCTCTATTTTTTGTTATATTTTCATTTCTACTGTTGGCTGAGGAAGGCTTTATGCCGAAACGTCCTTGTTTTTTGTCCTGTTATCTTATTCAAGCTTCACACATACCCCGTTTTGCTATTTTATTCATTTACTAAGCTTGAACGCAATCCTTTCATTTACATTTTCTGGTGTAGAGACCGACCGAAAGTGATTTTCTGATTTCGGCTGAAACTGAAACTAGGCCGAAATCTTAAAATGACTTTCGACCAAAACCGAAATTAAACCGAAAGTTA